ACTAAGACGCTCTGGGTCACTGGAAGAGAATGAAAATGAGAAGACCTTATGGAGGAGGAAGGTCAATAAAAAAAACAGGTTACAAGAAAACAGAAGATGGTGAATGACGTTGCATTTAAATTTTTGATGATTGTTGGTGGCAAGGAAGCAAGATCTCCACAAGTGATAAGTGAGAGAAAAAACTATTTGAATAGAATTTATGTTTACATCTTGTTATTTCAACAGTAAAACTGAGATCTAGATGCCGATCTTGTAGTAGGCTTCAATTTATGCAGCCGATATAGCAAGGAGGAAAGCTCATTAGAACAACTGCCATGAAAATATTTATAAAACAGGCGGAAGGGAGCCACGTCACTGTGGTTGGAAACTCTATCCAGTCTTGACGTATGCGGTTATCGACGACGACTTGTAGAATCCCTGCTAACTTGAGGTGTTCTATTGTGCCATAGGTTGAAGACGACAGTTTCCAATAAATATTCTCCGAATGTATACGAAATTCAATAAAAAAAATATTATTGTGCATAAACATAGAAAATGTCCGTCTTGTTTTAATAATTAAAGTGATAAAATCGTATATGTTAGAACAATGAGAAATTAAATATATAACATTAGCATATAAAAATGACATTACCAGTTTATGCTAAAGTGGTAACATCAAAATAAAACACTATTAAGAATAAAAGAGAGCTAAACTGTGAGATATCAGTTTGTTAAGTCATACTAATCTTATGTACTCTCTACTCTGGGAAGGTGACTAAAAGATAGAGAAAACATCTTGCTGTGTTGAACTATTGACTGAGTGAAATGGGAAAATAATGGAAATTAAAGAGAAAAAAACAAAAGCTAATATCACTTTTTATTTTTTTTACAATAGTGTTCGCCCTGTACAAGACCCAAGAGTCACTGAAGGTAGAATAATTACAGAATAAGAAGCACAGCTTAGGCGGATCTGTGTGGAAGATAACGCTTAACCGTAGACTTGAACAGGTCAACATTGTTGTGATCGGAAATCCATCCTCGTGCCAGTTGGTTCCAGAAGTCAGTGCTTCTTTGGGAAGAATCTGCTCGAGTAGAATTTACATCTCTCCACTGGAATATGAAGTGAATTAGGGCGATTCTCTACAATGTGCCAAACATGGCGGAAGAAGATTATAAGTTAAAAGGATCTAATGAATGTAGTTCATCGGAGCACTTGGAATCGCATAGAAGTAACAATAGAATAGGAAGAGGCTTACAACGCTGCGTCTGTGGGAAAGAGACTGTAGGATTCATCGCCTACAAGGCCGCGTAAATATTTTGAACTCTAGCAAGGCTTGAAAGAGAAGATTAGGGAGCTCCAGCCCAGATATGGCCAACATACTGAACATTATTCAAAGGATAATATGAGTTCTAGTTTGTAAGACTTATTTTCACTAATTTAGTATGCTATTATAATTGTGCTTGTCCTTCTCTTCATTAGTTCGCACAACCGTTACGCCCTGCCAATAATGAACTATATCGTTTTGATTGCGTGGAAAAAGGAAATAAGACACTACTTGGTGTCTGAGAGAAAATAAAAGGAAGATAGAAATAGGGAGAGAGAATCACATTAAACTGATAAGAACAGATACCACATTGTGATCTTAGCCAAAAGGCCGAAAAACGATTGTATTTCCTTGCCGGCCCAAGCTGGCAGAATGTGACACAAGGTTGGTTTAATAGAGGGAGTTCGTGCGCGTGTACCGGGTACAAGTTTTAAAAAATAGCACGATCCACGGAACCGTCGGTTGCGCTGGCATCGGTATTACTATCAATCCACTCGTTTTAGTGCAATCAGGGATGTACTGCCGTGGACAGGTATATCCTGAGACAGGTCATCTCTCAATAATATTTTCCAAAGCGACACAACTGAGAGATGAAATATAGCTTATCCGATCGGGGGCAGATACTACACTAAAGACAGAGAAGCTATGGCGACCGCGATAAAATCGTCATTTCTCAGACGCACGGTATCAAACAACGGAAATTGACATTATTTACATTATTCTGAATATTGTCCTCATCTTTGTCGCCATATTTATTACAACGTTTTGGCCGTTGTACGCTCCGGCCTTCTTCAGGTGTTTGGAATGTCGAACTGAGCCCTTTATTTCGCTCACTGGGATAGACTGTTCTAGTTCCATGTGCCATGTTTAATGGGCCCAAAGAGTGTGAGTTCAATACCCGGTTAAGGCAGTGGAGAACTTTCAGAGGGGAATAAACAGGAGATAAGATAACTAACATCCATTAAACATGGCATATGGAACTAGAACAGTCTACGCCAGTGAGCGAAATAAAGGGTTCAGTTCGACATTCCAACCAACTGAAGAATGCCGGAGCGTACAACGACCGAAACGTTGTAATGAATATGGCGACAAAGATGACGACAATAGTCCGAATAATGTAAATAATGTACATAATACCTCATCTCAGAAATATAGACAGAAACGGAAATTGAGTTAGGCAATCGCCAAAAATCCAGTTGCCATAAACGAAATAACATCGTCTGCTGAATTATTTTTAAATTATTGTTAAGAGAAATGCTGGTAAGACGGGGATTTGGCTAGAAATAAAGAAAGAAAGAAAGAAGGGAAGCTAGAAGCCTTTTAACGTCTCCTACCAATACCTTATAAACAATGGAGTTTAGATTGCGTAGAAAAAAAACAAAACACTTGCACTATTTGGTCTCACTGAGAAAATGAAAGAAAAAGAAAGAATTGAAGATAGAAATGTTTAACGGCTGTTTTATTGAAATTGAAAAACTTGTCAATTCCAAGTTTTTACATTTGTACCCACTTCTTAAAATAACGACCAACTGACATTTATAATTGTTATTACAATATTTTGTTTAAGTTAGGCTCAAATATTTAACGATGCGATTGTAGAATTTCTACGAATATTTTAAAAATACTCGCCATGAGCTTTTTCAATCATTAATTGAAGATTTAAGATTCATCAGAAAATTTAAAAACGCTGAAAATTTCACGAATTTTTCCAGTTAGTGATTAGGAGAAAAAAATCTGTTATCTTCAGCTTTTCATTTTTTTAAGTCATTAATAAAAAAAATTGCACAAAAGTTTCAAACAGTGTCTCATCTGGCTCAGATAGGATAAATATTTTATACGATCCGCGATCAGTTGCTCAAAACAAGATGTAAGTTGTCTTTTGCAAAGCAAGTATTTTTGCTTTCCTTCCTGTTTCGTTATTATTTTATTTTATTTTTTTTATTTTTTTTGTGCAAATTTTTCCTGGCTCCATTTATTTCACAATTTAGTATCTCGCAACATTTGCTTGTCTACGTTTCTCGAGGCTCTAAGAACAGTAAAAGTGTTATGCCGATGTAATAGAAGAGATATATGTGTGGAAATAACTGTTGAAAGCGAACACTTGGCAATGGAGAAAGAGACGAAAGAAAAGGTGTTGATCTGTCAGCTAAGAGCCCAATTATCGTACCGTTAGTGACACGGAAGCAAAATGGCGTCCGGGATTGCCTGCGGGAAGTGACGGGACTTGAACAATTTTCCAGAAACCTTCACTTGAGCTCACCATTACAAAATCAGTTTTGAGGCAGAAAATATAAAATGCTTGACACGAATATAATGAGTAAGTGCTGTGCCGATGATGACCAGCTTACATGATGTCGGGGTCTTATATTTTGTATTACTTTCTTAACCGTTTTTCAAAATAATTTCCCCGACACGTTTGGTTTCATGGTTTTTGATGTGTCTTTTATCTGTTTTGTTTGTTTTTTGTTTTGTTTTTTTTTTTTTTTTTTTTTTTTTTGTTCTTTATCAAAAAAGGCGATAATGCCACTTGAACACAGGGAGTGAAATTGAAAGAGGAGAAGATTCAGAATGGTGATGATTGAGGAAAGGATAAAAAAAAGTTCAAGGAGACAGAAGATGGCGATTGACGTTGCATTTAAATTTTTAAAGTTTGTAGTTAGCAGGGAAGTAAGAAATCGGAAACGAGTTACACAGGTGGGGAGTACGAGAAAATAAAATATTAGAGTAGAAGTGGCGGTGGCATCTAGTTAGTTCATCAGTAAAATGCTGGGACCTAATTGCCAATCTAGTAGCAAGCTTAAATTCATGTAGTCGTGGCACCATAAAAAAAGCTCTTCGAAGCAATTACCATGAGAATATTTGTAGAAAAGACAGAGGGAAACTACGTCACGTCGGTGGGAAAGTAACTGATGTTGGGATGCCTGGTCAGAATTGATAATATTACAGACCCTTTAGATTTTATCAAGAATCTCGAAGTGTACAGAAGAATTCATATTCTTATTTGGTCTTTTGTTGCATTTGTGTTCAAGTTCTTCACTATCTATATATTTATTATTTGAAGCACCTACTCTCAGATACCATTTAAACCAATTAAATTCTATATATAACTATGCAATTATTTTATTTTACAAAGTTATTTTATTGGCATCGCTTAAATTGTTATTTCTTTGTTCCTTTTAATCTTCAATGTTGATTTGACTCTTTTTACTGCTCGAGAACGTACAAAAATCGGATCATAATAATAAATCCTCGCAGAAATGTAACTAACTATTAATTAGCAAACTGGGTTGGAAATTGCTTTATTCTTCAAGTTAAAAACTTTTAATCGTATTGCGCTAATAAAATTCTTGCTTCTTTGTGCCGTTTTTGTTGTGTCACAGCCAGTAATACGATTGCACATATCAAGCATAGATACATCGATAAAATTGCAATCAACTGATTATGCGACGCCAAAAAAATCTTTATTTTTTTTAAAGTTTATCAACCATTTACAGGTTATTTAAAGCCAGAAAATATTTTTGAATTTTGAGAAAGTTATGTAGATGCTGATGATTTACTGTTATTTAACCCATTGCTGGGCGGGGAGAAGAGGGTATTTGCGTCTATGTGAATATAACGCACTCAGGTGGAATTTGAACTTGGCTCTCCGATTTACAATTGACAGACGTTATCTATTACACCATCGACACTACTAAGATTACAGCACCCGGTATTTCCAAGCGGTCACCCCTCTAAGGTACTAACCAGGTTTGACGTTGCTTAACTTCAGTGATCGTACGAGAACCGGTGTTTCAGCGTGATATGGCCATAAGCCAGAATAAATTCCAGGAATACGATTACATATTTAATCCGGATACCACAACAGCAACAACTAACCAGGTCAGGTTCTGGCGGTATACTTCCCATAGGAGTCTAGAGAGTTAATCTACATACATATGTGCGTGGGAAGCTTGTGCCAAACTCATTTTTTTTTGTATTTAAGTACTGAATGGGAATAAAATCTGAGGGGACTGGTAGCGAGAAAAAAAAATGATGTCTTCTTCATGTAAACCATTGCCGTACAACGCACGCATTTTGGCAAGGTGAATTTACTTGTTGAAAGATGCGACTGTCATCCCGCAGAAAAAAAAAAAATTATTTTTCGAAGCTAAGATTCTACTTATTTTTTATTTTCTCTAAATCTAAATACACTTATATTTTTTGTAAGTTACAACTGAAATTCGACAAAGCAGATGTGAGAAGCAGATCATTATTTTTGAAGCCCTGAAGCTCGAAGAGATAAGATAGTCCCTTCGACCAATTATATATATATATATATATATATATATATATATATATATATATATATATATATATCACACACACAAGGTTCCCAAACAACCCTCCGCAGGTTTTTAATTCAGAGTTGTCCTTCCCTAGACCAGTTGGCATCAAGGCTATATAACCCAGTCTGTTCTGCTATTTACCCATAGTTGGAGGGAGAAGTAGAGCATTCATACCTTTCCCAAGAGTATTAGCACGTAAGTGAATATAATGGATTCGAATGGAATTCGAACTCGGCTTTCCGATTCCTCAATCCAAGCCGATATCCATTACTCCACTGTAATGCGCAAGGTCTCTGTATTCGGCCCTTCAAAAAGTGTGGATGGTCTTGCACGAAACATTCACCACTATAATCAATTCTCAAGTGCTGATGTCGGGCTGTCGATTTCCGGGGACTGAACTGTTTGACCCTCAACGTCGAATTCGACGGGAGGGAGATATATATATATATATATATATATATATATATATATATATATATATATATATATATATATATATATATATATATATATATATATATATATATATACACCTAGTAGGCCAGACAAACCTACCTAGGTTTCACCTAAACGGATCGTCAGGGAAAGAGCCAAACTTTCCCTGACGATCCGTTTAGGGTGAAACCTAGGTAGGTTTTTGTCTCAACTCACTAGGTGTATCTAGGTCTGCTCTACGGTTGTATTGAGCTCTTTTGTTAGTTAGTTGTTACTCGTATCGGGGTTTTTTCTTTGGGCTTCAGACCTGCATCTGTGCGATTTTTTGTCGGCAGAAGTTCATGTTTGTAGCTCTTTCTTTTTTTAAAACCTTTTTTTACCTCGAGATTGATTTGATTAGCAAATCAAAAATTCGAGGGTTTTTCGAAACGAGTCTAGTTATCAATATATATATATATATATATATATATACCCACAATTGCCATAATAATATTTAAAATCATATTTTAATGAATGGCGATATCAGCGTTATTTAATTTAGATTCAGATTTTAAAAGCTGATATACGATAGCGATGTCTCAGTCGAAAAAGATTTATTTTAATTCGCCGTATAGAAAGGATTTCATCAATGTATGACAAACCTTATGAAAATTCTTACTGTAAGGCTCCCAAACACTTTAGCTTAGACGGTTTCAGATCGGATGAGTATGATGCACCATGAGTCTCTAACTCGTTATACTACTAAACTGCCTTACTAAAGAGTCGTATCCTAGGTATGACGATAAACTACATCTGGTAGCAAGGCTTTTGAGATTTTGATGATCGTGAAACCAACTCGTAACTGCTGTTGTTCCCAGGTCCATCATAACACGTGGTCGTAGCACCTGTTAGGGTCTCATATATGGGCTAATAGTGAACCCCAAAATTGGGGTCAAAACATTATGAAACTATAAAAAATACATTTTTCTAGAAAGAATATCTGCAAAATATTTTCATAGTAAAAAAAAGAAAATACCAGCAATACATTATTGGAAAAGGAAGAGAAATATTAACGACAAAAATTACCAAAGCTTTCTGAAAAAAATAATTTTGGCATTAAACGTCCCATGAGTAGTTGATATGCACTTAAACAACCCAAATCAAACCAAAAGAGGCTTGCTAACTATCGCGCCACATGTATCAGAGATATTTCAACTATACCTTTATGATTTTACGAAAAATATCCTTTGTCTAAACATGAGGTAGCCACTTCCTTTACTATATAGTGATAAAGCACGTACGTACGTATATCCACCCCTCCCCGCAAATACAAAATTAATTCGTTTACGATAACTATAAACAGTGTATAAATATCTATCACTGTTCCTGTAAATTGACATGATCCTAAGGTTAGTAAACTGCTGAACGTATCACAGACTTACCGTATTTTCTTCTGCATAATACGAGAAATATTGAACCAAAATTAAAGGCGAAATAGGGCGGGGGTATTATACACAAGTACACGTTTTCAGAATTTTTTATTCCCCTTAAAACCCTCTTATTTGAAACAGCCACAATGCACATTTACTCAGTTTTGCTCACAAGATAAAATTTGTTTATATTTGATTTTCTTGTTTTTTATAACATTTTTAATGAAAACATTTTTTTTATTTTCATAGTTTATTAATATATTAGCAGTTTAACCCGTGTACGACCGAGTCTTTCATTACTGGAAATTTTTGTCATTTAATTGGAGCAGTTTCAGTTTAAGGTCAACTCACCCGAAAATCAATATTAGTAACAAAAATTGGGTGCAACTGAGGCACATCCCCAAAGGGGGGTGGTTACAATTTGAATGGTGGGTGGCCCTAAAAAAGGAACTATAATAATAAATATTAGTATAATGATTTAAACTATTTGTTTTTATTAAAGTTTTTATGAAATATATATATCCAAGAGCAGATAGTAAATAGTAAAAAATTGCTGAGAATTATAATGGACAGGAAGTAGTGGAGAGCCATTGTCGCCAACAATTTGGAATTAAAATTGGCACTGAAGAATTATCTATCAAACAAAAAATCATCAAAATCGGGTGAAAACTGTGGAAAAGCATAAACAACATCCGATCACACACACACATATTTTGAAAATTATAGATATCGATAGATAGAAACATAATAAAGTCATTTCAAAAAGAAAAGTATGATAGATTAATTAACTCCTTAAATTGTATTACTGAATGTGCTTAGCCGACACTTTTCCCCGAAAATATGAAAGTTTTGAAAGATAAATTAAAAGAAACAGGCAATGGCTAAACATCCGGTTCATTTATATTCTTTAATATCGTGAAAAATTAAATATTTCAGTGAATTACATTTAGGATATTGAGATTTTAATGTATTGTGTGGTAAAAGTTTTCAAAAGAAATTTAGGATAAGCATGGCTGTACTACGGAGTTGTATTAGACTTAAGGATGTAATTTATTCCCTGATTTTAGCTTCAGAAAAACGGGTTTATATATAAAGTCATATTATATACAAAAAATGAGATAATTATTAGCGGTCGCTGGAAGGAGATTAAACATCGGCAAAGATCTTCTCAGTCCAATTAGTGATGCTGTAATTCGTCATTTTTTTCATTTATCATTTCCACAGATCTTCTTTGAAAATTTTCCACCAGTTACATATTCGCCAGCATAATCATTGATGTTAATTAAACTTCATGCAGCGTGTCTTGGACATGAATCGCCTAGTGTAGCGACCAAGATTTCCTCAATCTTGGTGGCTGAATTTACCCAGAATAAAGTGAATTGTTTCATCGTTCAAAACATCTCTATGATTATGGAATGTGCTATTTTTATTGACGTACCTAAAAGCTTTCTAGAACGTTGTCATACAGTATGATATAATCACAAATGCTAACTTCATTATTACTTTGTGCTAAAACTTCATTATACTTTGTTCGAATTCATGTTGGCGCGGACAATGCTATATCGAAGTTTATTCCTATTCGATATTTACATTGCATAGTTTGCACAAAAGCACAACTATGCAACAACCAATGTAGAACAAAAACATTACAGCAGTAATAGTCTAGATTTCCAACAACTGCACATGAATGACGTCTCGGACAGAGTATTCACAAAGCTTACAAAGGCACGATGCCATAAGTTGGGTGCTTAGAGTAGATCGAACTCACTACAGCAGTAATCATGTACAAAAGTAGATTTTTAATTATGATTTTATAATATATGTTTCATGCCAACAAATAATAATCGCCAAGAAAATTTCATCTGTAACGACCCCAAATATGTACTAGGTTCGCATAAGAGATACTAATGTCTGTTTTGTAGTCGGTGTCACCAGAGAATGCCAAAAGACCTAGGAGACCCAAGGGATAATTTAGAAGCTAACCTCAAAGACACGAAGTTCTAGATTGGTCTCTAAATGATTTCGGCGGGGGAAGCACGATATAAACAGGGAATTAAATACAGCTGAACTTACGATAAACACGAATAAGACAACCGGAATACAGAAAGTTCTATAAATGCCCGACCTAAGGAAAAAGATGATAAAAGAAGTTTTTATTTTTCTGCTCACAGAAAGATCGGGAAGCACATACCACGTTAATTTGACGGAGTCCAGAATTGAATAAGGGATTATTTTACGTCTGAAAAATTTACACTCGTATAAAAGATATTTACCAAGATCTGCTTACTTTGGCTCAATGATGCAAAGAATCTAACTCGGTACAGTAGAAACGATCGGCGCGGTTAGATTAAAAGCCATTGAGGTGTCAGAGTTTGTATGCACGGAGTAATGAAGAACTCCCCACTTGCTTTGATTGGTTCAAAGCGGAAGCAGTGATCTGGTCTTTGCATGCGTGTTACACAAATGTAGAAAAAAATGTTTGTTTGTTTTTTTTTCTGATAATATAAGTAAATTCAAAATAAATAGTGCGTGTCTTTTTAATCAAATCAAAAAATAATTTGGGATTTTCCTCGAGATGTGAAGCAAAAATTCTTCTTCAAAATAATTACCTTTTGCCGGAAACAAGAAAAACAATTAAGATG